TACTGCTTTTTTAAAGCAGTCAAGCATGGTAATAAGACAGATCTCACCTGACAGGCCAATCTCAGATATTAAGGAAATCCTGGATATTAAGGAAATTTTGACTTGCCCCACTTTTCTCCCTTCTTTTCTCTGGAAATTAGGTGTGTGTGGAGGAGAGAGGGGCTCATTGTGGTGCATTCTGGTCTACTTCCATTATTTCTTTCAAATTCTTCTGTCCACGCTATTCTAAATTAAAAAAATTACAGGGGTTCAAATCTACTTGAAAATCATGGCTGGAGTTTGGTATGGGACTTAGGGCTATGTAAATGGACTTGTGTCTGCGGGAAAGAGAATTAAGTAGTTTTGCAACATCTGTATTCAGCAAGGGTTTGCCATGAAGACTTAGGAGAGCTGTCACGATGTGGTATATTCTGTCATGTTATTGTTGTGGTGGTTGTTACGCACAATATGCAGCTTGTTTAAGGTTTGAGGTATATAAAATAGTTATATAGATGTTATAGGTTTATTGAGAAAGGTTGAGAGTGATAGGAGGCATAGCACCTGGGGGGTGGCTCAAAAGAATGTTTGTGGCCTGATGCAGGAATGTGCAGATGTGTGGAAGAGGAATCTTCTCAGACTCTTCTGGTGGAAAACAGAAAGTAGAGATGAAATCCGGCTGGTACTGGTACTGGGTGAATAAGGAGGGGCGTGGAAGAAAGGGTTGGCATGTTTTAATTAGTAAGTGAATAAAGATGCCTATAAAATGGTGTGTTGAGACATTGTTAATCATGCCAGTGTTGGGGAATGATAACTCTTCTGTTTGCAGATTCCTTCATGTTAACATCCTTGATTTTTCTGGAATATAGTTTTTACTGTTTGCAACACAGAAGACTTGTTCACTGAATTCCTGGGGAAGATAGCAATTCTTGACAAAAGCCAGCAAAGGACGTTTTCACACGGGGCTTTAGACGGAGGCAATCCTACCTCCGTCCGGCCCCACTCCGGCTCCATTGTCAAACTTTTCACATGACGTCGCAGCAAGCCCCGCCCCATCCAGCGCCGTCCCTGTGCCATCCCCGGTGCTGGCCGGCTTTAGCCCCGTCTTTCTAATTCCTTTTTTTAAAAGGAATTAGAGGGGCTGCTGCCGGAAGCAATCAGGAGCCATTCTGGCGGCTGCTGTTTTCACCGCCGGAATGGCTCTTCTTTGCTTCCAGGCAGCTTCCAGGCGGCTTTAGAGCCGTCCGTGTGAAAACGTCCAAGGTGACTGTTGTGCATTGGGACACTGACTCAAAAGTGCAAATGCACAGCAGTAGAGCCTAATGCTGAAGGAGATACTCTTGCCAGTGCCCTATTATGATTTGCACAATTCACAATTGGAAGGTTCCGTAGCACCTATGCTACATATCTAAGGGGGGAAGCAGATGGCTCAAAGGGCCATTTTGGGGGCAAGGAAGGGGAGGGGCAGCCGCACGGTGGGCGCCCCAACCCCTTCCCGAAGGCATCGTCAGAGCGCCGGCCCCTCCGCATGGCCGGCACTCCAACAATGCCTTCCCATCGCAGTGTCCGCAAACGCTGCAGTGGAAGAGTCACCGAAAGTGTGCCGCCAGCCTTTTGTGGCGCACCTTCGGCAACCTGTGGAAGGAGTGCTATTTTAGCGCTCCTTCCAGGGGCGGCAAAGCTGTGCCGCGGGGTGGAGGTGTGGGGATACCTTGGCCCCACGGCGCAGCTTCCCGGGGCGGCCCAGGGCCGTCCATCTGCTTCCCCCCTAAGTATGTGTAAGGTTATGGGGCTTAGGCCATGCTATAGAATCACTGTCTTTTGGGGTTGAGAGCTCTTCCTCCAACAAGTGACTGAAGGTACTCCATGGTGCAAAAAGAACTTTTGGAATCTATTTAAAGCAGGGATGCTTGATCTTTGGGCCTTTACAGACTGCCAGAAATAATGCAGCTTGAGGCCACTTTAACTGTCCTGGCTCAGTGCTAGGGAATCATGGGAACTGCATTTTTTTCTGGGACATTGAGCCTTCTCTGTCAGAGAGCTCTGGTGACACAATAAACTACACTTCCCATGTTCCTTAGCACTGACCCAGGACAGTTAAAGTGGCCTCAAGCTGCATTATTTCTGGCAGTCTGTAAAGGCCCGAAGTCAATCTTTGTGAATACTAGTCTGTTTTACTCTTCCTGCACTAATTTTTGGGCTGCAGTGTAATCCATTAGATTTTATACCTCTCAATTTTGCAATACAGTTCTTGTCTCAACACTAATCCCATATTCTAAACTACATGTAACATTTGTTGCATCTGATGAAGTGGGCTGCAGCCTATCAGGTCATATGCTAGATAAAGGATAAGATCCAGCATTGAGGAGGAAGAGGATAACTTTACACTCACAGAGTAATGCCTCAACTGTGAGTGTAAAGTTATGTACAATGCACAACACTGGTGCAATCAATGCAACTATGCAATCAATGCACAATATGCAACTATGTGATCAATCCATAATATGCAACAACATATGATGGTATCACACACATAACACCACTTCCAGAACCTACACTTGAATACAACCATTATACATTGCCCACCCACTTGCATAAGGGAACTTACGTATCTGTAATACACTAAGAGTATGCCAGGCAAAATTGTTAGTTTTTAAGATGCCACAAAGCAAAATTAAAGAGCCATAGGCCAGAGGTTGAACATGTGCTTCTCACACATAAAGTCGCAGATTCAATCCATGTTATTTCAAGTGTGGTAAAGGCAAGAATTCTGAAATCCTGGAAATTTGCTAATAGTATTGTCATTGTTGATGCTATTGGATTAGATGAAGCAATGTATTAGGCAACTTAATATGTGTAAAAATCTGTACATTTATATAAAATACATTTGTAAATGCATATTTTGCTAGCAAACATATTCAGAAGAGACCACTTTTAATTCCTCATTTGGAGTTCTGAGCTACCAGGTATTTATTTTATTATATTTTATTTCTGTTCTACCTTTCTCCCCTTATGGCCCCCAATAGAGCTCACAACATAAAGTAAAACAAAATCATAACAGTATAAACAAAACAACAAATTAAATAAACTACCCTATTAAAATCTGCACTAATATAAACAATTTAAAAGCATTTAAAATATATCCATAGGATAGACATATAGCAATCGCCTCTGCTTGAAATATTATTCTGCAACAATCAGTTAATATCAAAAAGCTCATCCAAATATAAAGATCTTTGTCTGCCAGCAGAAGTAGAACAGAGAGGAGATCAACCTAGCCTCTCCTAGTTCCACAGTCTGAGAGCAGCTACAGAGAAGGCCAACTCATGCGAACTCACCAAACATGCTGGTGGTAGTGGTGGTGGAAGCAGGAGAAAGCCCTCTCCTGAGGATTGCAGGATCATATTGTTTCTCCATCGTGGATATAGTGTAATGCTCTGCCCCCACAATTCCATGTCCCCCCCCTTCCTGGTCAGCTGGCATGGAGGGGGAAAAGACAGGAAGTTCAGAGGAGGAAGATGTAACTGATCCATGCTTGTAGAAAGTGCATTCCTAGATGGAGTCCACCATCCTTTTCCTTCCCCTCCCCAATGTGGAGGAGGAGGACCAGTCCTGCCCAGGGGGAGGTTTTGGATGGGGTGCAAAGGGCAGGAGAATAGCTGTCTGGGTGCTGTCCCAAAACACATGCATACACATAAGTCATACTTGATTGCACATAAGCCCCATTAACAGGATTCTGCCTATGGTTTTTCCAATGGAGTATGGAATAACTCAGGATGTTCTACTATATTCACATCAATGTGGGCCTTGGGAGATGGCATGGATATGACATTCCACTCCTCTGGTTCATGTGTGCTGACCAGTTGTTTGTGCAAGCTTGTTGACTGTTTAAAATGGAATTCCCACAGAAGCCCTCTGCCCTGGTCCATTGCTTGTTGTCTGATGTTGTGTGTCTTCAAGTCACTTTCAACTAATGGTTGCTCTAGAGTAAACCTATAATGGGATTTTCTTGGCTACAGTTCAAAGGTTTGCCATTGCCTTTCACTGAAGCTGAGAGCATGTAACTTGCCCAAGGGTTTTATGACCAAGCTGGCAATCGAACCCTGGTCTCCAGAATCACAGTCCAATACTCCAACCACTATACCACATTGCAGAGCCTGATTAATATTCATTAAAGAGGCATAGCCCTATTTAAATCCATGTCTTGTGTCATTGCTTTTAATTACTTATAGCTACTATATGCACCCACAGATTTTTGGGCAGATTTTTTTTTTTAAAAAAGATATCTGAATTATAGTTTTTTGTGGGTTTGGGGAACTATGAGGCTGTGTTCTAGAAGAATGTATTCCTGATGTTTTGCCTGAATCTGTAGCTGGCATCTTCAGAGAATGGTGGCATGGAGGTGTGTGGGGTATGTATACTGTGTGACCCTAGTTAGAATGATTTACATGTTTATCTGTGCTTTGTTCTGTTTTTGAATGGCAAGGCCTCAGGATGGGAGGATATGTGAGGAGGATTAGTGTCTAACTAGTGATCTATTGTCTGTTGGGAAATCCTCTGACCCTTGGTGAAGTTCATTTGCATGTGCTGAGTCTCAAAATGCAATGTGCAAACATGAATCAAGGAACACAGCAGACTGGGCCAGTGAGAACAAATCAGCAGTTGCAGAAGACATTATATACCATCCTGGGCATAAAATGCTGTTTGAAAACAGTGAAATTCTGGACCATGCCAACAACTATCAGGCCAAAATACACAGGGAAGCCATTGAAATTCACAAATTCAACAGGAAAGAAAAAACTCTGAAAGTAAACAAAGTTTGGCTACCAGTCCTGAAAAACACCAAAATCAAGACTCGGCACATACAAATGAACTTCACCCAGGGTCAGGGAGTTTCCCAGCAGACAATGGATCACTAAGGCCTTGCCAATTAACAACAGAACAAAACACAGATTAATGTATAAATCACTCCAGCCAGGGTCACACAGTATATATACCCCCCCACACCCCCATGCCACCATACTCTGAAGATGCCAGCCATCTCTGAAGATGCAGACGAAATGTCAGGAAAAAATTCTTCCAGAACATGGCCTCATAGCCAGAAAAACCCACAAAAAGCTATGGATGCCAGCAGTGGAAGCCTTCAACTTCACATATCTGAATTAATTTGGAAAATGATGGAATTCAAGCTGGAAAGGTGGTTCTATACATTCTTAGGTTTCAGCCAGTCCAGAAAGACAGATATCAGTTGCCAGGCCAAATTCTTTTAAACACTACTGTCTCCTGGACAGCTGGATTGGTTAAACCACTGGCTAAAACTCTCCTGCTACTTGCTGTGTATTCTTAATTCTGTAACACTTTGCCAGTAGCTCGCTCCATCCCTTTTCAGACCGTTATCTCATAAACATGTCATTATTTATCAAGTTCCTTTCTAGATGCAGTGCAAGAAGGAAGATTATGAATAATCACCACAACAACACTTTTACTGTAAGGAGCATTTTACAGTCCTTAAAGTCACTTAACTTCACAAGGCTGCAGGGGAGCTCATTAATATTTTCTTTTTACAATGGGACTGGAGCTGAGACATATACTTCTTGTATGAGATTATGGGGAATCCCTTTCGTCTGTGAGTCTTTGTGCTGCTCAAATGATCAGCTCATTCTGCCTCTTAGCCCAAAGGAGAGAAAAGAGCTTGTAGGCATAAAGTTTCTACCCTTTTGAGTTGCTGAGTTTTCAGTTGCCAGCTTATTCTTTCTTTTTAGTAGAAAAAGTCTTTGATGTTATGCCCAGAAAGAAACATTTACAGCTTTTACAAAAGATGCTCAACTTGGTGTGGGGTATGAGTCTTGTGCATAAGGGGACCTTTGACTAGTAGTGAGTTTGTAATGTAGAGAGAATGAGTAAAAGATTGGGAGGTAGGAGCAACTGTTGTCTGAATGCTGGATTGCATTTATTTCCTCCTGTATTGAAAATGTGGAAATGTCAGTCCCCCCCTCCTCATCATGAGTATGAGATTTGTGAATTTGGGCTGGCCTGGAGGCAGAGATGGGGCAGGGCAGCTGCACACCAGCTGCCCCAACCCCATGGCGATGGTGTCCTGACGCCGTGCACCATTACACATGGCGCATGGTGTCAGGGCACTCTCCCAGTGCAGCGTCCTGACACGCTGCGCCAGAAGGGGTGACGAAGAGCCACGTGCCGGCTCTTAGGGCACCCTTTTGCTGCTCTTTTTGGGGCGGCAAAAGGACAATCAGGGCCGTGGCGTGAGGTAGCCGTGGCCCCAATCTGCCGCTTCCCGCGGAGGCTCTGTGCCACCTGTCTGTAGCCCCGCTTTCTTTTTGGGGGGGCACAGGTTTAAAAAAATACCCAACAACCACAAGTCTGAGTTTTAGTCCATTATTTATCCAGGTCTATATTATTTTTCAAAAGCAGCAGGTGTTGGGTTTTTTGCCATTATAGACAATGGAGAAGTCATGCAGAACTTCATAAAAGGAGATGAGCTGATCCTTCTTGCCTCATCTCTGAGACAAATCATAATAGCACTCTAGGCCTTCAAGAAGAGGTGGGTTTCTATCCAGCAAGGTGGATTCAGAGATTAATATCCTTTCAGTACACAATCTTAACAGGAGCCCATTCAAATACTAAATCTGGCAAATTTAATAGTAATCCAGCTAAGAAAATGGAGAATTGCTCTCTGTCTAGCATTTAACTGCAGAACCCACAATTCCACTTTCTGCATGTCTGGTTCACAAACAGATCATATGCATAACCAAGTTAGAGAGTGCTTATTTTTCTTTTCTGAAGTCTTTAAATGGCACCTTGTAGGAATATTTCAGTAGAAGTTCATGGGAGAAATTGAGAAAAAAACATTTGTGGGTTTTCTTCTATTTTGGAATGTTTACTTGAGAATACTGCCTGGCCAAATTTCATATAGCCTTTTCCTATATTTCCAAAACCTGTGAAATCCTTTGTAAACTGGGGGTATGAATGTTGGAGAAATTTGTCACAGATAATTTGGAGTGCAAATTTTCAATGTCCATCTCTACAGAATCTGAGGGGGATTCCTCTTACTATCTTTTTGCAAGCAGATAAAAAACTTTTTATTCTGCCAGGCTTTTGAAAATTGATTTTTGGGGGGAAACAGGATTTGCATAATGTACTGGATGATTTCTTCTTCTTTGTTTTAACTGGTTTGAAATTTTATGTTTTAATTGCTTTTTAACTTTTGTATGCCTTTAATTTTTAACTATATTTGTTTTAACTGTTATAAGATGCCTTGACTCCAAAAATGGGGGCAAGGCAGCATATAAATAAATATAATAATAAATGTAATAATAATATGTGGATACACTTGGAGTCATTTCACATCTACATGACTTTTCTATTCAGCAAAGTTTATTCAGAGATTTATATGAGATATTAATGGTATTGTTGTCATGTTCAGTGTTTCTTAGCTACAGCAGATATGTTCATTTTAAATATCCCCTTGCTGCATGCAAATTGCTTGCATTAAAAAGCGGGCTTTCTTTGGTTGCATTAAAAGTTGATAGAGTGTATTTATTAAAAGTTATACTCAATAAATAAGAATATTATACTTTCCTGCATAAGGCAGGAAAACTGTCTTTTGCCAGAGTCTGCCAAGGCAGGGCTGGTAACTTGGATCCCCTGGAGAAGTCAAGCCTCATCCCCCATTTCTGTTGACAAAGAAATGGTTTCATTGATAACAGCAATTAGTGTTTACCTGTCTTGTCTATTTCCATTGAATGGAAACACTGTAAAACTGGCTTAGGCCAGTACACCCTCCATTGTGAGGTATTAAGCAGCTTCTAAAGAGGTTGGGCAACCCTATCTGGATTTGAAAGAGGATAAATGCCTATACTTCATTGGCTTTGTGTTATGTACACTGTCTATTGTTCTCTAACACCAAGGGCACATTCACCTTTGCAAGCACATTTTTGTTTGTTTTTTGAACCCTTCAGAGAACAACATTGAGGTCATGTTTTGCCCCACCTATAGGTGCTCCTTTCACTTTTAGGAGACAGCCCACAAGTTAGGAAGAGGTTAAATACAGAGACAGAGAGACCTGTTCCCTATACTTCTCTGAGACCTGCTTCCACTGCTCCAGTCTCCAGTCATCTTTTTCATATGTGTGTGTGTTTTGGCCAGTAGTCCCTTAAACTTAGCTAGACCCCTCTAGCCCCCTTTGATCAGTCAGTAGTAGAATTTTAACTTTACCTCAGCCTTCTCTTCACCACATTGAACATGCCAAAATCCTTCAACATTTCTTCATATGGTTTGTTCTTCATTCCTCTTATCATCCTTGTTGCCCTTCTCTGAACCTAGTCCAACTAATCTATATCCTTCCTAAACTGAGGTGCCCAGAGCTGATCACAGTATTCCAGATCAGGCCTGACTAGTGCAGAATATAAGGCGACTGTTACTTCCCATGTCTTAGAAACTACATTTCTATTAATGCAGGCTAAAATGCTATTTAACTTCTTTGCTGAAGCATCATATCGCTAGATCATGCTCAACCTGTGCTCAGCAATAAACCCAAGTTCCTTCTTACACATACTGCAGATAAAACAAGTGTACCCTATCTTGTAAGCATGCATTTTTGCTGCCTAAATATAGAATTTGGCATTTATCTCTGCTGAACTTCATTCTACAGTGGGACCTTAGTATCCACGGACTACCCACCTGCGATTTGAGCTTCCGTGGATGGTAAGCCATGGTTTCCCCAAAGGTGGCATGTGCGCATGGTCATGCCACCATTAAGAACAGCCCGTTGTCCCATTGGCAGCGTGTGCATGCAGCCATGCTGACATTAGGGACAATGGGACTTCAGGTAATCCCCCGTCCTGTTGTCCCTAATGGTGGCATGGCCACATGCACATGTTGCCATTGGGGACAATGGAACTTGAGCATGCATGGATATTGGTATCTGCAAGGTTGGAGGGGTCCAGAATGGATCCCCTGCAGATACCAAGGGCCCACTGTATTAGTTTCAGCTGATTTTCTAGTTTATCAAGGTCCTATTGTCCACTGTGTTAGCTACCCCTCCCAGTTTTGCATCATCTGAAAACTTAATAAAGTTTCCCTCTAATCCATTATTTAAATCACTGATAAAAATATGGCCCCAGGACAGAATAT